ATGAGTAATGTGCTGATGCCGAAACATCGGCTCTAAAGAGATAGTTTTTTTTCAACAGATTTTCCCTATACCTAGGACCATTGAAGTAGAATGTCATCTGCTTAAGGGATTTATTTTAAATGTTGGCACTGAATCAACAGCAATTTCAGATAATATTACTTTAACTTGAACCACTGCTTTCTTCTGGCGAATCTGAAATAAAAGCACATGTATTCAGTCCAGCTCATTTCGCTAACCCTCTCGAATGAATGAATGATGTTGTTGTTGTGTCATCGTCATCGGGGGCTATCAGAGCTTAAACAGCAGAGTAAACAAGGTTTATTCTGTCTGATTATTAGAAATAGAACTTTTGGCTACGATGCTAATGAAGCCTAAGAACTACGTTGCGACGATATCATCACACGTGATTTAGGAGTAAACTGTGTAAAGTTCTAATTTCGGAATACAACCGCTTGGAATGTTATCCAGGTGAAGACAAAAGTACGAAGCCTTTGTGCAGCCATACCAGAACTTCTAAAATTATGAAATAGTTATTCTAATTGATACCCATTAGTCATCAAAGCACAAAGCCACAAATTAAATACTAAAACAGCAGCCCATATTGTAATTATTGTGCGCACGGAGCAACAGTTTGAAACAGACATTTTGTGACTTACTTTGTAATACCATTCTCGGTGTATTTGCTTCGATAATATCCGCCAAGACTGTCCGACAGAGGAGCAGAGTAACTGACGTTTAGCACGTATCGCTGGTCGGTCACAAGCTCAGACTTCAGCGAGAAGATTATGCGTTCAAGTTCTGGCTGGAGCTGAAAAGGAGGAATATCAAATTCCAGGAGCTGTCCGTCCTCGGTGCTCAGCTTCAGGGATTCTTTAACAACGTCCAGTCCTTTTAGATTCATGATTATTTTGCTTGTGCTATTTCGACATTCCATGTAAATCGTAACGTCGCCGTGAAACGCAAATTCGAGCTCTTTCGGGTGCAACAGAACTGATGACGGCAAATAGGTCTGAATTTTCAGATTATACGAGATTGGTACCACGTTTTCGGGGAGTATCCAATCGCTGACTGGATGCGAAAGTGTACGAGGCTTCGGCGTGACTGGCTCGCGTGTATTTGCAGGCGCGTTGAGCTCTCCGTAGTGCACGCCAAGACCCACTGCCAGCAACGACCACACGAAGAAAAAAGCTACCATGCTGACGGCGCAGTACGACAGCTTGCAGCTGCTTCTTTCATGGCGCATCATCTCCATTTAGCAACCGGCTAAACATAAATCAATTGCTACATATCAGAGGATAAAACAACGTTAAATACAGCATAAGAGAAGCTCATGATCAGGATAATGTGCTGAACAAGAGTTGACAATCGATGGAAAGACCGCATCTTTGAAATCTACATTTGTACTAGAAAACACTGACCCCACTGTTTTCTGATCGAATACAATATTGTCAGTATTCGGTAATACCGATGAGAACAACCTCACGTCGATTAACCGGATCTACACAGCGATAGCGCACCGGTCTGTTGTAGTTAGCTACCTTGGGAACCATTTAAGCAGGCCCAGGCTAAATAGAGTTTCAGCACCTGTAGGCATAGAAGCAAAACAAAAGCGCCATGTTCGAGCGAATAGACAAACGTTCGAGCAAAAATGAAAATGCCCTCAATCGTAGGCGAAGATATAAATACATATACAGTAAACACAAATCTTGGTATTCTAGGCTCAGTTATTACAATAGTAGTTTTTATGACCAATTGAATTACTTCGACCGGCCGCAACACGTCCACCATTTGTTGCAGTTTTGGTCATTCTAACTCCAAACGCGCTCTTCCTGGCAACTGAAATAATCTTTCGACCATCGTGGTGGGAGACCAAAATGCCTAGTTCGCCCCCAAAGCTTCATTCTACCAAAATCGTATTCGTGCCTGTCCCATTGTAGCTTCTCCATTGTGTTTTACACCAGGATGTCCTTCGCCTCTGTGTTTGTGATGTGTCGCTAAGTGAGATCCCTAACATTTTTCGTTCCATGGCTCTCTCGGTGAACGGTGGCTGATGCATTTAGGTTGTGTCGTGTCATACCTGACTGTAGGACGATAGAATCAGAGACGTGGAAGTGGATTTCTTTCCTGATCCTACTGAGGAGGGATCCTTGAGGGAATGAAACCTGTGTCAACCGACGCTTTTGTTACTGAATCTCTCCAACCTGATGATTCTTCATGTTGATCCTTTGCTCAGGCAAATGTTTTTAACGATATCATGTCATTTATTGTTACCTGAACCTTTGATAGACATCCGATCGCGGTATCTAGTTCCCACTGGCTACTCTACTCCGTCGATAGAGCACTCCCAGTCGTATCCCTTCTTGAAAAAATAGCGTTACCCGTTCTCCAGCCAGCCGGTGTCTTTCGCATGGTAATCGCAGTTTCACAGACATACCTTGCTTCGTCTACTGCTTGGAGTATTTCAGAGCGAATTTCATTGATTCCAGCAGCCTTTCCATTTTTCAAGCTTTTCACAGTTTCTGTAATTTCATCTACAGAAAAAATAATATCCGTTCTCTGCTGCTTTACATACCAATCTTTATGCGGTTGCCCAAGATTAAGGAGTGTTAAGGAGTGCTCTCTCCATTGCCAAAGAATGTTCTTATTCTCAGTAAGAGGGTATCCTGATCTGTCTTTCAAAACTCTGAGACTGCCCTTCTTTTTACCTCGGAGCCGGCGGATGCTCTGCCAGAATACCTTGTTTGCCGTGTGGAAACTCGACTCCAGCACCTCACCGAACTTATCCCAGGAATCAGCCTTCGCTTTTGCCACTGCTATGGCTGCCGCCTTGCGTGCCTCGACATATCGCACGCGTGTAGATGGCTCCTTGTTTCCTAAGCCCATTTCTTGAACTCTGCCTTTTTCTCTTTAACTGCCAGTTGTACCTCTCGTGTTCACCATGAAGTTCTTCGCTGACCTCCAGGCGGCAGGCCAACCCGTTTATATCCGCAGCATTCGGCGGCAGCTTCGAGTAGGCTTCT